ACATGGATACCCACTTCCGCCCCAGCCCGGGATTGAACTCTTGACCTTCGGAATCTGTCTCCTAGCAGTGCAGGAACAGCGCGCTAGACCGCTCGGCTATCTAGGCAAGTTCAAAAACTTGCTTTCGATGCCGATGGAATTCTCGCGGCGCTGCCCTACACTACACGGTCATTGAGAATAGAAGTGAGATACAGTTATTTGGACATTAGTTTTAACAGAGGATTGTTACCAATACATGTTGTAATGAAATTAATTATTATTTATAAAGCACATTTTACAACAACTCTTAAACTAACATAACTGCCCTAAGTGAAGAAATATTAATATAGAAAGCACAAAGAAATTCACTTTTACATGGATACCCACTTCCGCCCCAGCCCGGGATTGAACTCTCGACCTTCGGAATCTGTCTCCTAGCAGTGCAGGAACAGCGCGCTAGACCGCTCGGCTATCTAGGCAAGTTCAAAAACTTGCTTTCGATGCCGATGGAATTCTCGCGGCGCTGCCCTACACTACACGGTCATTGAGAATAGAAGTGAGATACAGTTATTTGGACATTAGTTTTAACAGAGGATTGTTACCAATACATGTTGTAATGAAATTAATTATTATTTATAAAGCACATTTTACAACAACTCTTAAACTAACATAACTGCCCTAAGTGAAGAAATATTAATATAGAAAGCACAAAGAAATTCACTTTTACATGGATACCCACTTCCGCCCCAGCCCGGGGTTGAACTCTCAACCTTCGGAATCTGTCTCCTAGCAGTGCAGGAACAGCGCGCTAGACCGCTCGGCTATCTAGGCAAGTTCAAAAACTTGCTTTCGATGCCGATGGAATTCTCGCGGCGCTGCCCTACACTACACGGTCATTGAGAATAGAAGTGAGATACAGTTATTTGGACATTAGTTTTAACAGAGGATTGTTACCAATACATGTTGTAATGAAATTAATTATTATTTATAAAGCACATTTTACAACAACTCTTAAACTAACATAACTGCCCTAAGTGAAGAAATATTAATATAGAAAGCACAAAGTAATTCACTTTTACATGGATACCCACTTCCGCCCCAGCCCGGGATTGAACTCTCGACCTTCGGAATCTGTCTCCTAGCAGTGCAGGAACAGCGCGCTAGACCGCTCGGCTATCTAGGCAAGTTCAAAAACTTGCTTTCGATGCCGATGGAATTCTCGCGGCGCTGCCCTACACTACACGGTCATTGAGAATAGAAGTGAGATACAGTTATTTGGACATTAGTTTTAACAGAGGATTGTTATCAATACATGTTGTAATGAAATTATATATATATATATATATATATATATATATATATATATATATATATATATATATATATATATATATATATATATATATATATATATATATATATATATATATTAGGGATGTCAAATCGGTCAATTTTTGATACTCGGTTACTCGGACGTTTTCCGATCGAGTACCCGGGTACTCGATAAAAGTGTAAATAAATATGAACAAGTTAATTGATAACTGTAAAACATTGTAAACTCTTGTAGAAATAAAACCGATGGGAGGTTACCTGCAAATGCGTTGTAACAATTATGACCACTTTGTAACCGACGATATTTAATCGAACATTTTTTTAAGTTCAATTTATTTATCAGATAAATACGAGAAATAAAATCAGAAATGGTTCACAGTGTTTTTGTTTAAAAAATGAATTCTGTTCCGTAATTGTAATGTAACTCTTAGGTGCGTTTGATGTCCAAGTGATAAGTGTCTGAGCTATATGTACGGTATAAACTTGATAAGTTATCCTATAACAGAGCGGATTTATACGATCTTCGTACACTTTTTGATCCTAGATTTCATAGAATTACGATACGGTATGTTGTAGTTTGGAGCAATGATGGACATAAGATTTTTAAAGCATTTGCCTTCAACCATTTGCATTATTTGGCATGTAATCAAATGCATCCAAATCAACAATCGCACGTGCAATAACGTCTTTCCCGAGAATTTACGGCTTCTTGGAGAATTGACAAAATTATTTAATTTGTTTAAATATAATGGACCTTAAACGATGTTCAATGAAAACAAATAATTAAAGCAAACTAAATATAAGGGAAGACGACAGTCGAAGGTGAGAAAAGCCCGGGTAGGTACATCAGGTGTTTGGTCACGATAATTACAGTATAAACACTGCCACAGGCGATAACGGTCATTTAGAGGCATAGGAAACCCTAATTACTGTATGTACAAGTGTAATGAACATTTTACGTTTTAAAACCGATGTTTTAATCCATTAATAGATAAGCTTAGAAATATTTAAAAATATACATCCGAGTAACCGAGTACCTATTTTGGTATTTGATTCTCGGACGTTCGATGGAGTCCCCGGTTAACCGGGTACTCGTTGACATCCCTAATATATATATATATATATATATATATATATATATATATATATATATATATAGTATTCAAAACAAAATGAAGAATCGGTACAGATTTTGGTATATTTAAAAGTAAAAATCCAAAAATATCACAAAACATTTACTGCAAGCGCTTTCGCCATGTTCGGCTCTTCAGGCAGTTATACAAATGTCAGGTAGGTTACCTGGTAACGTCAAAAGCATAAAGTTCATTGTGACGTCATAATAGATGTTGGTAGCGTAAAGTTGGCGTAATCGTTAAAACTACTTGAATATTGTCAAGGAGAAACTCAAGATCTTTTTAATATCAACTTTAGAGTAAACTTGCATGTACAAACCAAAAAAAAAAAAGGCAACCCTTTAAACTTACAATTACCTGCTTACAAGGTTTTAACTGTACTTTTGAATATGAAAATTTAAGGAAAAAAAACCAAACATTAAACTAGGAGACTTATTGTTCACAGAACAATAAGAGGTCTTTCCACCTTCTTTGAATTTCAAATTTGTTTTATATCTGACTCCTTAAAATTATATTCCATGAAAAAGAAACCAGAATTGTCTTAAAGCACAGAAAAAATAAATTAAAGAAAAAATTGGAATGACCTTGACCTTTGACCTTGAAAAAATATTCAAGGTCATATGTCAAGGGTCATAATGCAATTGACCCCATGCTTCTATGACTTATAGTTTTCAAGTTATAAGGTTTAATAGTAAGTACAAAGAAGTTAAAGGACAATAACTCATATAAGGGTCATGAGATCCTTTCGCACTTATACAGTGAAGTTAGGCGTAAAGACTCTTAAGACATTTGTGAAGATTTGGTGACTCTACGGTCTATAGTTTCGGAGGAGTAGTAAAAAATAGGTTTTTCACACAAGGGGCAATAACTTTAAAAAGGGTTAATGTTAGGGGACAAGAATGAAATCTTTGAAATAGTTTTAAAAGTACATAGTAATGATGCATAGACATTAAGTATATGTTGAAAGACAAAAGAGAAACAAAAAGAGCTAAATTTCTCAGTTTTGGAATGACCTTGACCTTTGACCTTTACATGAATTTTAAGGTCACAGGTCAATGAATCTTATGCAGTTGGTCCCATGTCTCTACGACTTCTCGTTTTGAAAATGTTTAATTATTTGTAAAATTCAAAAAGTTTCAGGGGCAATAACTCATTGAAGGGGTCATGAATACTTTTGCAATGAAGGATTTAAGGTTTTCTTAATTAGTCTAAGACATTGGTGAAGGTTTCATTACTCTACGATTTACAGTTTCGGAGGAGTAGCAATAACAAATATTTTTGCGAAAGGGGCGGTAACTCCAAAAGGGGTTTAATTTCATATACGCAGGGTCAAACGAAAAAATCATTTAAGGAGTACATTCATATGAACTATAAATCTCTTCAATAACTTGTGAAACAAAAAACCATTCGGCGGAAAAATAATAAAAATAACTAGGAGACTTATTGTTCACAGAACAATAAGAGGTCTTTCCACCTTCTTTGACTTTCAAATTTGTTTTATGTCTGATTCCTAAAAATTGAATTCCATTAAAAAGAAACCAAACTCTCTGAAAGCATAGAAAAATGGAAATTTAAAAAAAATGACCTTGACCTTTGACCTTGAAAAATTGATCAAGGTCAAAGGTCAAGAGTCAAAATGCAATTGACCCCATGCTTCTACGTCTTATAGTTTTAAAGTAATAAGGTTTAATAGTAAGTACAAAGAAGTTAAAGGGAAATAACTTATATAAGGGGTCATCAGATCCTTTTGCACTCATACAGTGAAGTTAGGCCTAAAGACCCTTAAGACATTAGTGAAGGTTTGGTGTCTCTACGGTGTACGGTTTCGGAGGAGTAGCGATAACAAGGTTTTTAGCATAAGGGGCAATAACTTTTCAAGGGGATAATGTCAAGGGACAAGAATGAAATCTTTGAAACAGTTTTAAGAGTACATATAAATGATGCATAGACATTATGCATATGTTGAAAGACAAAAGAGATATAAAAAGAGCTAAATTTCTCATTTTTGGAATGACCTTGACCTTTGACCTTTACATAAATTTTAAGGTCAAAGGTCAATGAATCTTATGCAGTTAGTCCCATGTCTCTACGACTTGTCGTTTTAAAATTTTTTAATTATTTGTAAAATTCAAAAAGTTTCAGGGGCAATAACTCATTGAAGGGGTCACCGAATACTTTCGCACTGAATAGATGAAGAGTCCTCTCAGTTAGTCAAAGACTTTAGTGAAGGTTTCAGATCTCTACGGCTTATGGTTTCGGAGAAGTAGCGATAACAAGCATTTCTTGTGAAAGGGGCAATAACTTCGAAAGCGGTCAAGGTTCATTTACGCAGGGTCAACTGCAATAATCTTTTTTGGAGTACATTCTTATGGACTATAAATTTCTTCGATATATCTTGAAACTCAAAATCACACGGCGGAAAAATAAGAAGAATAATAAGAAACAGAACAATACCAATAGGTCTTTCCACGGAAAGGTGGAAAGACCTAATAATAATAAACAGAACAATTTCAATAGGTCTTTCCACGGAAAGGTGGAAAGACCTAATTATTTCACCTTTTCACTCCAATCTAAATCCATTTCTTGCCATGGTTTCTGAAGTAAATCACCAGAAGTCTCGGGCACTGGTTCATTTTGTCTATAACAAAATCAAAACACATTTCTTAAGTGAAGAGAATTACAAATCAAAATGATTCGTAAAATAAAAAAAGTTTCCTCTTTGAAACATAAATGTAGATCAAACAAAAATTTAATTATTCAAATTTCTTTAACGAATAACCCAGGAATGCTCCGTGGTTTCATTTTATATTTTCAAGTTTGAAATGACCGTTTGGAAAGTTTTTATTAGGTTGCAAACAATACAAATTTTCATGAATAAACCTTCTACATGTATAATTTTAACCACAGGGACTTGGAGTATGGATTCCACTTCTCCCATATTTTATTTTATTAAATCAGGAATCGAAACCTTTTTCCTCTTCATGTATTTTAATATTTATTATTACATGTTATCGGTGATGTAACACCTTTGCCTTAAGCTGTTTTATGAAGTATTTCGTTTCACCTTATACATAAAAAAGAGCGCACTTGTAATACAACCCTTTCTTTTTATGCCCCGAAATCGAAGATTCGGGGGTATGGGTATACATGCATTCTGTAATTTAAAATCACATATTTTCGTAAGGTCATATTTTCGTTGTTTGAGTAAAAACTCTTGGTTTGTGGTGATTTCAATTCGAGGATGAGGAATGATTGAGTTGTTATGTACATAACATTTAACATTTTGTGGTAAACATGAACTCGTGGATCTCTTCATACCCCGAAAACAACGAAAATTAAACCCCCACGAAAATTTGTGATTTCACAGTAGTTCTTGTCCTGTCGGTTCGACCGTTTGAAGAAAAAACTTTAACCCTGTCCATATCTTTTGACTGGCTGGGGCTATGGCTTTCATATTTTACAGGTTTATTTCTTGTGACAAGACCTTTCTTTTGGTACCACCAAATTTGACCTCTTGGCTTTAGAGTTTGCTCCACTTTTACAAAACATTACCATACTTTAACTTTAGCCATTACTTTTGAATAGTTAGTGATTTCACAATTAAATTAAGAAAATTCAAAATTCCTTGTGACAAGAACTTTCTTTGGGTACCACAAAATTTGACCTTTTATCCTAGACCCTAAAGGTTAACCCACTTTCAAAACACTTTAACCTTCGTCATGACTTTTGAACAGTAAGTATTTGGGCTATATAATAGTTAATTAATAATGCTCCATTTGTTTCATTTATTATTTTTATTTTTATTGTATATAAATTTATAAAAAAAATATATTTAATTTGTTTTATATAAAGTTTATTATTATGCATAACATTAACGTCACGCCTCCATCTTGTTATATAGAGTTTTTGTACTTTGATTTTAGCATCTTGAATAGCAACAACAATCATCTTTGTAAAATGGTAACCAAGGAGCAGTCGATCCAATAATTTTATAAATTCTGTTGACCAGTTGTTTCAATTACTGGTTATTCGGTCAATATCCTTAAGGAGAATTCGGTTCCATGGACGAAGGATGCAGCTCTAATGTCTGTATCTGCATGGAATCCATCCGGTTTCAATATGATATTATAGGGCAAAGACATTGGCAAAATGGTATACCTATATACACTCCAAGGATGTAATGCAGGGCATAGTCCTTTAGATACGGTAATTGATCTTGTTGATAATGTTTCCTAATGCTCTTCCTCCTCCTGTAGACAATGCTTCGCTGTGTTTGGACCAAAAGCGCCCTTTTCATGGAAAAGAACTTAACGGTAACAATAGGTGCTGACTGTTCCTAGTTGGTAATCTCCTAGTCTATAGTCTTTCTGCTGTGTGCCACTATGGCGAATGTTTATTTTATTTTGTATGCTGTTTTAATAATGACTCTCCTTCATCACCTATGGAGCAACGGTTGATGTAGAGGGGGTGGGGTGGGTCAGACGGTCCCCTTTGTGTTCTGACCAAAATGTATATAAGATTTAGTTACTAGTAATTATTTTCTTGTGTGACTGTGGACCCCTTACCTAACTCTAAATTACCCCTAAGATTCCTAGATTGGTCACTGTAGAGTATCATACATCTCTTGTAAGTTTTCCTTCTTATCTGTAAAAAGAACTATCTCGTCTGTGTAATTTTAATAGGACTGAAATTTTAGATTCACCCATGGTTATTCCAAGGTCTTGACTGTTACTTTTGGACAAAGTCAGGGTTCTTAATTAAGATTAAATTATGTATTAGCCGAAAACGAGATATCTGAAAAGAGCTCATAGACGCAAAGGGATTATATTTTTATATTAATTGATAACATGTAAAGAATTTGAAAATATACGAAAAGGAAGGGAAAAGCATATCAATCCCTGATTTAAAAGAAAGAAAAGAAAGGGCCCTGATTTAAAAGAAAGAGAAGAAAGGGGGTGTCCATTCCCCAAGTTCCTGTGGACTTCCTATAATTTTTTACTTTTAATCCTAGTCTCATGTAAATTCTGAATATACCGGTGTCAGTAAATAAAAAGAAAGTGGACGCTTTAGATGGCGATTCGTTTTTTGTGAGGACACATATCTTCAAAGACAAATTCTTAGGAAAAATTAAGATATATTTTTGAGGAACATTTTGTCTGACCTTTTAATCTGGTAAGAATTTGCATAAATTCAAATAATTTTTATCAGCTTACATGATTGGATGACACAGCCTTTGACGACCAAGTAGCTCTAGGTCTAGATCTTCATCAGGATCGTACACTTCGTCTGATTCCAACATACCTGTCGTTTTGTAAATAATAAGTTTGCGTACTCCTTACGAGAGGTGGAAAAACGTTTCGTTCTGTGGCTTGTAAGAGATTTGATCCTTCGATGTTAGTTGTTTTTTATGTGGTTATTGAATTTAAAAGTAATATATAAAGACGGCGCCGCTGGTCGAAGGTTAGAAGAGATAAAATGTGATTTAAAAAAAAAAAAAACAGATCGAAAGCGAAACTTATTTTCATTGAAACTTATGACTGTCTATAAATATTCGACTTTAGATAGATATATCTTTTTTGAAAATCATATTTGTATTAAAACAAGATCGAAAGCGAAACTTATTTTCATTGAAACTTATGACTGTCTATAAATATTCGACTTTAAATAGATAAATCTTTTTTGAAAATCATATTTGTATTAAAACAATTTTTTTTCAAAAATACACATTTATAGAGATGTCAATATGAAAATCTAGAACTTATGTTCGGAATCCACAAGTGAATTGCAAAATGGTTTCATTTTCTCCTTTGAATTTTTTTCGCATCAATCATAATCTGAAAAAATAATATTTGCAACAAGATGTATCATACTGTAATTTAGCTACTAGAAGAGTACAAAATAAGAACCGAAAATATATTGTTTTAGTTCTGTGTTGCTATATTTTGCATTGATCTTGTTGCAAATGCAAAATACAGCGAAGCATACTGTAGATTCCTTATTTTTCGCGAGTACTTTTTATCGCGAATGAGCTCTTCAACAGCAAATCGCGAGAATAATAATTCGCAAATGGACGGTTGATCAAGAGTTTCAACATACATTTCAGCACCATAAAAATAAAGGCGAGTAATTTAATTTCGCGTTTCGTGCTTCTCACGAAATTACGCGATAATTAATTTCACGCGTATATTTAGGAATCTACAGTACTCATCCTTTAGTCTGTACATACCCTAGCGGAAAGTGAAGTGTACTGCACTTTTTGGTATAAAATATTTTTAAAATTAATATAGTGTTATTATGACATAAACCCTCGATTCCACCACTATTTTCTCGATTTTAATGGGCTTGATCACCTACGGTCAGTTAATGTGTTTGGAATGTTATCAGATATGTTATGGTTATAAGCCGAAAACTGTCCATTGTGTCAGATGTATTAGACGACCTGATGCGCGTTAGCGCCGAGGAGAGTCTAATATATGACACATTCGGCTTATAACTTACTTAAAACATTTCACCACTGTCGAACACTTCCATTGTTAACTTATTGTACACCCATAGTTAAGGTCTCGTTCTGCTTGGATGACTACCTGACCAGTTTTTGGTTTTCTTAATTCTTTCTTTATATATAGTAGGAATCATCGAGAGGTGTTTTATATCGATGAATATGAACATTATCTTTGTTTAGTCTTATTTATCTGCATTGCGACATTTTTTATATATACTACGCATGCATAAAAGTCAGTTCTATTACAATTACAATTATTCATTTTACAACGCAACGACCACGGATGACGACGTACATTTTAATATCAATTCTCTGTAATTATCAAAATTGGTTGGCCACGCATAGAAAAACATTTTGATTTTTTTATAATAATTTTAAACAGCTATGTCATTAATTGTAAAATCTAAAGTGGGTTTATGAAATAGACCCTTGGTTACCATAGAAACGGGGTGCAAAATTCTCAATTTCGTTAATTTTGAAAAACGTGAACTTATCAAGAAAAACTGTGTCCAGAAATGAAAAGGGATAACTTAATATGTTTTCATTATTTAAATTTAATACTACAAATTAAAGTATTTTTATATCTGTAGTTTTAATTTAATCTCTCAATAGTAAATGGCCAATTTACATATTATAACATATCAGATATGTGATTGGTTTAGTGGAGTTTTTGGAGGCTTAAAACAAAAAAGGCACACTGATTACAAATTTAGTAATAATTAATTATGAAAGGCTGATATTTGATTATATCAAAATATGTAAAATATTGGTGGGACACTCAAAGATGTAAAAGGAATTCAAAGGTAAAGATTACTTTTTTCTACATTTTGAAGCATTTTTTGCTTCCTAATTACTTCCCTTGAACTACTCTCTAACGTTTGGAGGTACAATGTGTATTTAGTAAACAGCAATGAACATTTCTGGCGAAAGATCTCATCAAAGTTTTACAGTATGGAAGAAGAAAAGAAGGCTAAACATCTTATACAATGAAGACAGAAGGTAAATTCATGTATATACTGAGCATTACAAAAATATCAAGATTAACAAATGCATATTTGCCTTACAATACACAGTTGTTTTACCGGTAGTGGTCAGTGGTCCTTATCAAATCAAGCGAACTATACCTTTTGACAGTTTGACTTTCTGACCAATGAATTAATTATTTTTATTAATAAAAATGAATTTGAAGCATATAAACATCACTTGCTGATACAGCTGAACCCCCCCCCTTCCCCGAAATATAAATCTCTATATAGAGATTGTATAAAATCTGTGCCATTCAGTAGGTTTACTTTTTATGATGTGCTGAGAGAGACTTTTAAGTGAACGTTATTTATCTTTATAATATAAATTTCCACTTCTGTCAGTTTTCATTCATTGTTTATCCTATTATTTCAATTCTTTATTTGCATTAGACACATAATTTACAGAATTGTGTTGTTAAAATATTTAACCAGAGCAAGTTTGTTCCTCTAAAAAGAATGCATCAAACGTTTATAATGTGTGAGCACAAGCATAAAGTAGCTAAGTTTTTTAAAATAGTATTCTATATATCAGCAAAATATGGTCATGTGATGTTCATAAGCAGAAAATAGGAAAACAGCATGTTTGTTTTAATGTCATTAATTGTTTTATTTAATAGCTTCTATCTTTTAAACTTTAAATTTATTATATATATCCAAAACTGTACTATATGTATTGACAAAATAGATCTAGGTTAAGAATGCACTGGAAATATTGAGTTACATGTATTTTTGTTTATATAGACTCTTATTCGCCTGTGAAGTACCAGTACTGTATAATCTACAGCTGATCTATAGTTCAATTTTGTGTGAATAATAATAATCTTTTCAAATAGCAAACATTAAAAAATATATATGTACACTTGTACATATGTATTAGTATTAAAACAAAATTTAACTAGAAGTACTGTGAGCAATGAGCTCATTGCTCACTAAATGATACCCCCTGCCTCCCATATGGTTATAACTGATGACAAATCCATGTTTTACTGTGGCCGGGAAACCCAAAATATGTTTCAAATCAAAAAGTAAAATAGGAGGTGCACAATGACAATATGTAATAAAGATTCCGTGAAAGGTTCATTAAATTTCACTCACTGCAGTGGTATAAGAGGAGTTGCGGATTATTAAGAGATGGGTACCCTAAAGCGTAACAGACAGACAGATGGACGTACAGCTAGACGGACATACCGATTACAGTATACCCTACCACTTTTCAAGCGGAGGGTATAATAAAACTACTAGTATATACATGTACATGTAGAATGTTCACCTCTGATTTATAATGATATTTGTTTTTAGGGGTGGGTCGATATACCGATACATACCGATATTTTCCTCCAAGATACGGTTTACGATACAAGCATTCAAATATCGATACGAAACGATACACGAACGACCCATCCAAAAATTGAAAATGAAAGTACCTGTCCTTTGAAAATGGCGGCTTGTACGAAGTGAAGAGATTATTTTGATATTGAAGACACACTTTAGAACTAATAAGTCGTTGATTAGGGGTAAAACGTTTTCACTTTTAAGCAGGCTCGGGAGATTGGACAAGAAAAGTTCAGTATGAAATGCGTTCTATACACAGAAAATATCGTTTCCAGAACATTTGATATTATAAATTGTTAATCTATCTCGTACTTTTTTTGTAATCTCAACTTGGCGACACACTTTCAGCAATGATTTAATAATAATGTAAATATGATCGATGTTTTTAAATGAATTTTTAGTCCGTGTTCTCTGATGAAATACACAACTATTTGTAAACAAATTCTGAATAGTAAAGCCATATATGGCGTATGTACAATGAAAATTATTAGACTAAAATTATAAGAACTTATTAATTGTCTCATTACTTTATATAAAGATAGAGCTTTTCCGTAAATTACAAAATCTAAGTCAATTGCGTTATAAAGATATCACAATTTAATTTGGATTCTCGGAATTTTCTCCGACTGAAGAAAATACAAAAGATTTAAATAACACAATACAGATAAGATAAAATTGTATTATTAGATGAAACGAGGTGTTCTCCGTGTTCAGAATTGTATGAAAAGTTTGAATTTAAATGTATTAACTATATTTCTTTACTTAATTTTGTATTTTTCAAAAATATATTTTTTTATCAGTTACGCCATATATGGCTGTAATAATAGTATGTACATGTATCATTGTTTTGTACAGTTTTAGTCAATGAAATTGATGAACTTCAAGTATTAATTTCAAAGCAAAGTTAACATGATTTGATGTAGAATAATTTGTTGATTTAATGTCTAGACAAAAAAAAGTAAAATACTTATTATTTGGAATAGTTTTATAATTTATCATAATATCGAGATACGTATCGTATCGTGCCAATATATCGAGATACGTATCGTATCGCAAGATGTGTGTATCGTCCCACCCCTATTTGTTTTATACACACTGACCATGTTTTATAATAATTATTCTAAACAAATTATTTGATACTCAGGCAAATATTCACTACTGGTAAGATGATCACACACATGAACATGTCTGTTTATAAATGAAATGAATTTTCCTTTTGATCATGTTCCTAAGAAAATAATTATTTTCATCATTTTTTCATCAAAGGATTTACCATATAAGATGAATAAAGAAAAAGTAAGACCAGTAAACCAAAACAGGACCAAATAGGCCATGACTGAAGTTCAAGTGCATTCTGCAAGAAAGTGGACAGCCTAGATTTTGTTCTTTTCAAGGTAACCATTCTTAAAATATGAAAGTAAATTAAGGACAGATGATACAAACAAAAAATGGATGCCTGGATTGGTATTACCGTATATATTTTTTGGCATAATTTAATTGCAAATTAATGATGCTATTAATAAATTTCTAGAATATTAAGAAATTGTAAACCTTCTGTATGATGTTCAAAAGTC